GGCCATTGACTTTAAGCAGAATATCACAAACGCAACTTACAAACGTGACTTGTATATATTGGAAAGAAAATAAGTAACTATGTCTCTTTTGAAAAATATACAATGTACATGTATAATTATTTCTTCGCATAATAAATAAAATGTAGATAATTATCTTTTTATAAATTTTCGCAACTATAGTTTAACGTCTTTTTATTACGTGGAGGGAAATTTTTCCTGGTAAATAGAAAAATCACGAATCAGCTTGACGTTCTGCAAAGAAAAGTTATCCATAATAACAATGTATAAGACTTAGTCTTCAACTTGGCAAAAAAACTGATGCCAGGATAATTCTATACTGAAATGTTTTTTAGACGTTACAAAAAATAATACTTATAACTGAATAAAAAAAAGCGCGGAACTAACGGAATTAGAAATGCTTACCTATAATACTGCGATACCCTCTATAACGAAAGAAAAAAGCTTTCATATCTACTTTTAATATCTAAAGAAGAGAGTATGATATGTAGGAGCCAAATGACGGTTCATTGGTGCGACTGCCAAATAAAATTATTGAAGAGAGGATCTCGTTATTTAATTGTAGTTAGATGCACGCACTGAATAATCCCTCGGTGTTTACTTCAAACGTTCGCGGTGAACTTTTCTGTCGTGTGCAAACTATCTCTTGCTCTCAATTAAATCGGTATACAATTTTTTTCTCGTTCTCAAATAAACTAACATTGATTTAATTCCATTTTGTAATGTGAAAAATACTGCTTCGTCAGGAATGAAATCTGGACCACCTCAGTAGTAAAGGACGCCGTATTTAACTTTCAATATCTAATTATGTTTACTTCAACATTACATACTTAATAGTTTCTCCATTTTACGCTAAATTAATCTATAAATAAATGTATTGTAATTCAATCTACAACTGATCGAAGGAGATTTAAATATCCCACGCCTGTCTTAACAACCTAAAATAAAATAAACTTAAATTAATTGCTTTTCCCTTTTCCAAAAAAGAAAGAAAAAAAACAATAAATATCGGATATGAAAGCTTTCAAAAACATACTTCAATTAAAGTAGTCGCGTATACTACATATAAAAATAGGAACCGTATTCTTTCTGAGCAAAGATATTACTTACAGACCCGAATGTCCTAAAGGATAACTCCAAGTAATTGCCTGCCTTAAGTTTCATTGTCTTATTACACATGAGCATAATTAGAATTAATGCCCGCACATTTGCATCCGGAAGAAGGTGCCAATCTAACGTACATGCAGTCCAAGCTACTTCTTCTCCCTAGTTTCGTTAATAAATGATAAATATTAGGATAACATTTAAAGAAAAGTCATCATTTTGTATGATATGGCATTATTATCACCATAATGTATGAGTAAGAATGTGCGTACCACGAATATTAATATATCTACCTTTTCAGAAAGTTGCTCACCAATAAAACAATATATAAATGTGTTGAAAGTGAATGACATCACTAAAATACAATACGTACAAATGGCTACGGCATTGCTGGCCTCCCATTCCTACATAGAGAAATAAAATATATTAATAATTTTAGTAAAATATATATATTATATTTCACATCTCAAACATGTATATATTTTACTTAATGATTTTTACATACCATAATTAAGCAATATATCATGAGGCATAATATGGAAGTACATGCTACAAGTTCTACAAAACTCGAGAAATGTACAACGCCTTGCACCATATCTAAAAAACTGAAAGCCATTGTATGACAAATGTAAGTCTTGTTCTCCGAAAATAATTAATTATCCATCATATTGACGTATATTTCAATTAGTGCGATCAAAAAATTAATTGTACTAAAATACTATATGATATGCCATTTCAATTGATATAATAATAACAAATATATATGCTTTAAATGAAATATAGCTACTAACATAATTGAGATCAAACGATTATTACTTTCGTATTTTTATTTGATATTGTACGATAACAGATAATTTCTTGTTCACATGCTCAAGCTCATGTTTGACCGTCAAATTGTTCATTAGTACCATTAAGATGTCTAATTGCGCGATGATATGCATCGTGAAGAGCGCCACAGTGCCACAACCTGCCACTGTGATCGTATACCTGATGAAACCCGTGAAACACTGTACGAAGAATACAATCTCGTAAGCCGGACTGATCTGTGGATCGAACACTACATAGTAAGCAGGACACGGCAAAGGTCTAATTGTAATGTTCTGAGCGGTGACAATCTTCCCTCTTGATAACGGTATGGCTGTTCGATATGTCATACCGGCGCCATACATAAATATTCCGCACAAGATCAACAAATGTCTGCTAGTTTTCACGTGAAAAAGCATCGTGTTGCGCTCAGTCGAACTAGTAACACTTTGAAAATCTTTCTCCACACACGCCAAGCAATCCTTCATTTGATTCTCCACGTACAACATATTGCTATACTTTAAAATCGACACAATCATGAATAACACAACGCCTATAACCTTAATTCTCGCGCGTGTCTCCTTCTGCACCACGAATATATAAAGGAGTACAGAAATTAGATCGCAACAAAGGATAAAGTAGCATCCGAAAATCAGCACGCTCTTCGTCAGCTTTTGTAAAAGACAGATTTTCTTGTTTGCGTTGGGCCAGACGCCCAATATGCGAAGAAAAAACCGATTCAATTCGTATGTATAACTTATGTCACGTTTGTAATTTTTATTGTTGTACATTGTAAAATGTTTTTCACTTGAGACTCTACTGTTGGTACTTTCGCGTTCGTGAAGTATAACGCAATGTCACGAGGCGACGACTGTTTTCTCTTTTGTCTGTTCATCGCTAGCAAGTCTCTATATTCGCGCTTGCGTATTGTAACGATTGAAACGATACGCGCAATGATAGAAACTTTGGTGTCCGCGAGCAGCACGCATTTGCACGGGAGGGGATACACTCTTTGCTTTTCTCGTGTTCTTACTGGTAAATATATATTAAGGCAGGATACCACCTTTGTACTTTCAAAAAATCGAAAATTTTTTTTTTGGCTTAAAGTACTCTTTCAAATGTATAGAATCGAAATTCATCCATTAGAAAGGTGACCGAAACTTTTTTCTAGTGTTATAAACCAGTTTGGAGCAAGCGCTCTCGGCGCGTTTCTCGGGCTGCCGAGCGCGCACAGACAGTCTACCTGTCTCATCCTACTACTTGTGAATTTACCGACCTAATTATGGCTTCTTTTAGTTCCAAATAGTGAAGTATATATCGCTAGTTACTTTTTTCATTATAATATGACATATACTTCTATGTTTTATATAGTTCATAACGAATTAGTCGTGTAAACATCATTCACGTGTTGCTTGGTTTTGTCTTTCACAAGTTTCTTTCGAACGTTTATTCATTGTTCATCATGGGGAAGACAAAAGTAATGGAGAAAAAAGGGACAAGAGGAGGAATTAGTCGTGCCTCGAAACCGAGAAGCAGCGGAAGGAAGCCGCTGAATCGATACATGTTAGAAACAGAAAGTGAGAGTGTCAGTACATCGGCAAAGAAACTGAAACTTAGTGAACATGAATATCATACTAATGTGGACGCAACTTTTGGTTATCGTGTGATCAATTTTGTAACTGTTTTTGCAGCAATTTCTGAATTTGTAGTGTGCAAAGAGTGTAAATCTCCCATAAAGTTTCAAGAAGCAAGTATCCGTG